GGGGCTCGGGGCGCCGCAGAATAAAGCCCAGAGGGCCGGAGCCGGCGCCCCCCGCCCTCGCTGGGGTCCCCACACGGGGCCGGAGCCGCTCTGCGGGTCCCCCCATTGCAGTCTAATACACGGCCCGACACTGCCGGGGTGCAGCTTTCCCGACATCACACTGGGGGTCGGGCTGGGGGACAGGGGGGGGGCCCTCATTGGGACGGGGTCCCGGGGTGGGGTGGGGGTTAGGAAGGGCCAGCACCTTCCACGAGCTTGTGAAATCTCTGCGCCTACCACCAACGGTGGAAGAGGATGCGGACAGGACAGCTGACTTGTCTTGTTCCTATCACTCATGTTATGAGGCAGTGGTGGGAGCAACTAGGGAATTCCATGGCTTTTTAAATCCATTCAATCAGCTCTCCTGTATCCACCCAGGCTCGTGGCTTCCCAAAGCAGAAGCTGTGTCTTTGGTGGGACTGGAGTGGGCAGCATAGAGCGTGGTAACACTGAGGTTTTCTGACACTACAACACTCCCACTCCCTCTAAGAAAACTTCCCTTTCAGGGACTGAAATGGAACAAAAGGTGTAAAAGAAATATAATTCCAAGAGGGAGAACAGTCTGCAAAAGAGCCCAGGTCCACGTGGGCCTGGATGCTGATCCCTATTGCTGGTCAGTGAGAGCATCTGACAGGTCAGATTTCCAGCTGCTTTATTTAACAGGAAACTGGTTTGTTCCTTCTTGTGAGTAGGATCGTTGGCTTTGCATGGGCAAAGCCACTCCAGATTTTTCAGCTAGGAAAAGTTAGGCAACTCTTTTAAAACATAGTCCTGGAGGTACCAAGGAGCTTGGCTTGGTAATCCTGTGGGAAAATAGAAGCATATCTGTTTGCAGCATTTTTGAGAGAAAGGGGACATGAATTACGAGATTTGAGCTACTCCAGTCTAGGCCTCAGATTTGGGCCTTGTGAGGCCTTCGAGCCTCTGACGCAGTTAGAAATTAAGAGTTTGTGGCGCAGCTAGAAATAGTATTAAGGTGTGATAGGGATCACTGGGCTGTCTGGGTGTGAATTAGTATAGGTTTATAGTGTAAGATTTAGGCCACCTTAAGGAAAAGGTAAACAATGCTAGCTTGCCAATCAGAGTGTCTTTGTTTTTGTAAACTATGTAGAAGCTTATATAAACTACCATCTTATCTCGAATAAATGGAGAACGTTTTATTAACCACATTGGTTCAGATCTGCCTTTGTCCTGTCCAGCTTCCCGTTTTCCTGAGGCTCCCTGGCTTTTCATATCTGTTCTGATTTTTCTCTCCTCTTTCTTCCACAGCTGTGTCTGTATTCCCGACTTCCATTTACCTTGGAGACATTTGGCTTGGAACACAGGAGCTGAATGTTACTTACCCATGTCAGATTGATCTGCACTAGTGCAGATTATGAGAGGGTGACTCAGACACTCGGAAACAAGGGGAAGAAACTGTTATGTCTCTTTGCAAAAAAATTTGGCTCCATCAGGGCATTAATTCAGGGGACAAACACTTCACCTTTAACGTTCTTCTCTGCTCCGTCCGCATCGCCATGAGAGCCTCATGAGCTGTTCTCATATAGACCTACCTTGTTTGGTTAAAAAAATCCGTATTTTATTACTGGGTGCAAACTCAGGGGGAAGATTTGATTCAACATCTCTCAGTGGGACATAAAAGCTCCAATTTCCCTTTTCTTGAACAGTTTGAGAGACAATATTACTTATGTAATTTTTATGACAGGCATTTTTATCTTTTTGAAGAACCAAAAAGACTGTTTGTGCATGTGTCTCAGCAGCAGGCCCAGCACAGGCAGGCAGGTTTGGAATTTTCTTTGCTATGCTGCAGATGGATTCAAGACATCGTTCCTTTTTGTTTGACAGAAGGAAGACAAAAAAAAAATCTTACCAAAAGCGGATGTTTTCTTTCCTGACTATCAAGCAGCCAAATACCACCAGCTAGCTATCCATATTTTAAAATCAGCTGGAGAACTTGCATCCCAGGGACCTGGGGAGTGTCTGAAGAGAGCTCTGGCCAGCTCTGTTAGCTGTTAAGCACCCTGGAACAGCAGAGAGGAGGCTGGAAGAGTTCCAGTGCCCCAGTACCCAGAGACCCACCTGGTCAGGACAGGTCACTTAGGCAGTGCTGCGACTGACCTCAGCCCAGGCAAAATCACAGAACTGGAGCTGAGATAAGACACAACTGAAAAAGTCTTTCAAAGGACAGGGAAGCTAATTCCAGACTCTGTGGGTTTGGACGAAGACAAATGCAGTGACAGTGTCTGATATCATTTTCTGAGGGAGGTGTGATTGGAAGGATGAAGGCAGCTGCACATCTGTAATTTACTATAAGGGTGCTCATGCACCACGTCCAAATACTGAATGGAGTTCCTCATGGTAAGAGATCTGTCTGGAGCCAGCAGGGAGCTCTGGGGCCCTGGATTGAGCCTCTCCAAGAGCAAGAAACAGGGATGAGGGATGAGACACGCAGATCTTCCAACTCTCTGGGCATCCAGCTTGGGTTTCTCTCCAACATTACACTGTCTGGTAGGAAGGTGATAGCCAGAAGAATTGTGTTGTGCGTGGCTATCAGAAATGCACAACCTCCAGTGAAGTGCATGGGACACCTGGAAGGAGCTGGTCCTGTCCTCTTTCCACTGTGTGAAGGTCCAGCCTTGGCCAGGAACCATCTCTGGCCACAAACCCTTATTTTTCTGTGTCATTTTGGATGTTAATACACATCATTGAAGCAAATGTTAGTGCTCTGCGTCACAGCAGTGTGATCATCAGCTGCCTCAGCAGGCAGATGGGTTTGAAATCAGTGTTCCCATGCTCCAGACCTTTTGTCTGATTTCTGTGGAATCGTGCAGTGCTGACAAGAGGGACAGGGACATGGACACCTCAGTGCAGAGCTTGTACAGGCATCAGCCTTCCCCGCTCTCCCTAAGTCGCCATCAAAGCTGGCACCAAATCACTCGGGATTGCAGAGAAGTGAGTGCTGCAATCGGATCATGGATTCCAGTCCAGGCCTCTCCGTGTCTCAGGATCCACTGTGGCCTGAGCAGAGAGAGCTGTTGCCCTGGCCTTTGGAAGGCACCGTGGCAGTGCCTGGTTTGTGTGCAGATGTGCAGGTAAGAACAAGGGACTCTGCTCCGGAGGGCAGAGGGACCTTGCCAGGAGAGTTAACCCTTGGAGTTACGCAGTGGGGGAAGAGGTGGGCATCGTGCACAGCCAAAATTGCATTAATGCTGCATCAAAAGAGGTGGCAGAATGGGGGGGATTCTGCCTCTCTCCCCCACTCAGGTGAGACCCCACCTGCAGAGCTTCCCCAGCTCTGGGCTCCAGCACAAGCAGTGTGTGGAGCTGTTGGAACAAGCACAGAGGAGGCCATGGAGGTGCTCCGAAGGGTAGAGCCCCTCTGCTCTGGAGCCAGGCTGGGAGAGCTGGGGGTGCTCACCTGGAGAGGAGAAGCTCCAGGAAGAGCTCAGAGCCCCCTCCAGGGCCTGAAGGGACTCCAGGAGAGCTGGAGAGGGACTGGGCACAAGGCCTGGAGGGACAGGACACGGGGAATGGCTCCCACTGCCAGAGGGCAGGGATGGATGGGATACTGGGAAGGAATTCCTGGCTGGTAGAGTGGACAGGTCCTGGCACAGGGTGCCCAGAGAACCTGCCTCCTCTGGACGTGGGTGAGCTGGGAGAGCACAGGGGGTCCTGCATCTCCCTGGGCTTGACAGAGACGGATGAGCAGAGAAACGGTGAAGGTAAAAGTTCTCCAGCCCTGACCAGGGACGTGAGCGTGCATTTGTTGGGTGAGTGTATCAGGATTATTGTAAGAAAAGAGACATGAGGTTCCCACAGAAATACTGGATGATTGTCATGCCAGGGGCAGTGGGTGAGGGACACAGCAGAGAGGATGACAGGGCAGGGGGTGCAAGTTTACACCAGTGGCTCCTTTCAAGCACTTCACTGGGTTTCTGTGCTGGAATTGGGAGAAGTGGAATTGAAGTGGGGCTTAAAAAACAAACAGAACTCAAGCAAAAAGGACAAGTTTTGTGTGTGACTGGGTTTAATAGTTTCTTCAGTCCTAAAATTATTTTCTCACAGTATTTTTCAAGCCTAGAAAAATGATAACATAGGATAGTTTCAAAGCCTAAACAAATCTCATTGAATGCTGTTTTTCATTAATGATTTCTGGGCACTCCAGAAAACATTTCTAGACTTCCCTTGTTCACAATGGCTCCTTTGATGGCCAAAATTGAATACGTGAGGGATAAATATAAGTATTTTTAAGCCAAGTATTTTGCTCAGTAACATGATGAAAAAGTGCAAAAAGCTTTAAAAATGAATACTTTGTTTAAGTCTTGAAAGAACTCTGAAATTTTCAAGTACACAGACTTTTCCTGACAGTTTTTTAGGAGCAGTAAATTTTTGGTAACATGCCTCTGTTACCCTGCAATTCCACATCCATTTCCGTGTCTGTTGTGCTGTTAGTCTGCCTCCTGCTTTTTGGTTTATTTGGGGGTAAACTGCCTTTTTTTATTGTTTTTGTTACCTTTTGTGAGTGTGACAGAGGCCCTAAGGTGCCAATAAATGAGAATATTAGTGCTCCCTTTGACTGCTGTTTCCCTCTGCTTGTATTTGACCTAATCCTGGATCTCTGCCCAGCCTGCTGAGCTGAATTTTCTGATCAGATAAGGAGGAGCAGTGGGTTAAGAGACACTGACCAAATATTGACAGAAGTGTCCCCTCTGTGCAGTTATAAACATTATGTGTCATTGCTGGGTCACTGGAGGCACTGAATATTTCTTTAGTACAGGTTATTTTTCACACTACTCACTTACCTACTTACTTCACCTCTGGTTATACTTATTTTGCTGGCATTGATCCGGAGCAGGACATACACAGCAAAATAAGGAAAAGAAACATCAAGAACACAGTAAGGCCGACCCAAAAGGCAATGACAATGGAGTCTGTGGGCACAGCAGGGTAATTCTGTCACATGCATTCTGCATGCAGAAATAAAACACAGCAAGGTGGTTTATCATCTCTAGTAAAGGTGTGCCGTTTAATCCATTCCATTTCTCCTTTCAGAGAGAGCACTCCAAATGCCAATTTGTTAAAGGTCTTGGGAGCCTCCAGCAGGGATGAGGGAGGGGCTGGGAAAAGCCTCCAGAGAGTGTTCTGGTGACTGGACCTGTGCAGATGTTGGAACGTGGCTCCTTCTACACAACCACTGTGCAGAAAGCCTGAGTGGTTACTGCCTAATCCTGCAGGAGCTTTCAGGAGAGGCCCCCAGGAAGGGAATTCCAGCCTTGAGAGCAGTTTATACCAAGAGAAATAGCAAGGGGAGTTTGTTGCCAAGTGCCTGTGTCCCTCCCAGCACATCAGTGCAGTGGAAGAGAATGTGCCTCTTGCCCTCTTCAGCTTCAGTGCCCTGCAGCCACCATGGAAGAGGGCAAGATGCTGCCTGCTTTGCCAGGAGCACATGGTTTATTTCAGGAACAAGAGGGCTGGCAGTGCCAAAGTGTGTCCACAGCCAGTTTAGAGGGAGTGTGAGGTGGCTGGGGGAGCAAAGGGAGCTGCTCTTTCATGGAGGCTTCAGTGCTGTGCCAGTTTTATTGTCTGAGCCTTGGGCTCACTGAGGGAGGGGACGGATCTGCTCCCGCCCCCACAGCACCTTTGGCCACTGGTTCAAAAACGCTCCTTCCTGGTGCCACTGTGGTGCTGGGGGTGGCCTTGGGAAGTTTGGATGCTCACAGCTGGTGGCTCAATTCAGATGAGGTGGAAAAAGAAGGGTCACTGACTCCGGAGACAAATACTGACCAAGACAAAATAAATCTTCCCTCTGAAAGTAGAGAAAATATTGTGTTCTTTAAACAGGTCCAGTATGTTTGATTGAGTGCTTCTTTGTGAAAAAGTTCAGTATGTGTTGACATCAAAGCCACAAAGAGATTAAGGGAATAAACCCAGCTCCTTTTAAACCCAAAACTAGAGCTGGCCCAGTTGTTCCCTGATCAGAAACAGGAGTTTAGGCTGGGCTACTGAAAAATATCAGTAGGGAGGGCAGCTTATTTTATTCTTCCTTTGCCCAGGAACATTTTGAAAAGCCCAAAGTTTTGAAGCATTCCATACCATTGGGACAGAAATTAAGAGTCTGGATTTGTAGAATTCCCTGTCAGAGCTATTTTGGCTTTATCTTTTAAAAACAGTTATAATAGATGTCATGGAATTCACTGAAGCCAAATAAATGGCTCCAGGACTCAAGTGGAACTTGAACCAAAATTTCCTGGGTTTAAATTCTGCAATTAGTTGGTTTTTGCTTGTTTGCTTTTGTTTGTGGGTG